AGTTTGTTGATTGTAGCATAATTGATTTATACCTAACTAAATTGATGCAAAAAAAACAATTCGAATAAATTCAGCCAGAAAAACATAAAAAATTTCAAAATCCACATTTCGGTAAACCAGATTTGTTAAATCAAGCTTCTCAACAACCTCATGGGCTATAAGAAACTTGATCAATCCAAATGCAACATTGCTGTTTCAATTAATGTTTTGCCGTTAATCAAAATTGTTTTATAAAATTCCAATTGCTAATAATGCCGGTATGGAACAGAAGTTTGACACATGCTTAGAATGTTTCATGCCGGCATTATTGCTCCGACTCCGATCATTTTAAATGGGGAGGATCTTTGTATTCGGGTGTGTGTTAGTTTTTTTATTTCTGTTTTCCACGCAAAATCAGGTACCACAAATAATGATTGGACTGAGTTGAGTGACATATCATATCATATTAAAGCACTTTCACACGTGATTCGAACCACATTAATATTTTCCCAGAAAACTTTCTAAGTGTTGAGAAAACCGGTTTAAAATCTTATACTTTTGTCCTAATTTGAGCGGTTAAAGCAAAGGAGCAGGCTTACAACAGCTTAATTAGGAGAAATTTAAAATTTAAGCCCTCAAACGTAGCTCATTTCCGAGAATTTTAAAGGACTTCAAAAAATTGGAAATCTTTCCGCAAAAAAATTTGAAAAAAAAATCTTTGAATATTTTTTAATTTTCGTTTTCTTTAAAATTTTTTTAAATCTTATTTGTCTGTACTAATAAGAGTGCAAATATCTCTAGAAGATAGTTTCACATCAATTTTTTTATCACCCCACGCAGAAAAACTAATTTGAAAAAAAAGTTTTATCTGGTAGTTTTTTCAAAAAGATTATGGTCAGAACATTCTCTGCGACTTGCACAGTAACCGGATATCTTTGTTAGCAATTGGATTTCAATATTAAAGTAAAGTGTAAGTCTTCTACCCAGTTGCAGTACCCTCCTTGCTAAAGGCAAGTGTAGCCAAAATCTGCAACATAAATGAAGTTCACCAAGAGGCGAAATGTGGAAATTCGCACCATTTCTGATACCACAAAAAAATAAGATTTCAAGCTTGCAGACCGAAGATAGAAAAAAAACCTCTAAGTCAGCAACACGCTAAAAAAGGAAAAAACCACAATTGGAAATTTAAAAATTTTGTCTAGATTGATGTTCTATTTGTGGAAAACATGTACAGTAAATTCTAAACATGAAATCTTGACGCCCCCCTTCGAAACCTCACAAAAGTTTTAAAATTTACTTTCCTTTCAAATGTCGAAAAATTAGGATACCAATTGACACATACCGATTGAACATAAATCGAGACATTTGAGGTCAAATTAGCTTTTGAGTGGAAAAGAAAAAGAAAATAACATTGAATCAAATCTGCTAAAATTGCAAATTACCCGGAATAAATTGAAACCATCTCAATTGAAATGAAAATTACTCAAAGCACAATAGTTTCTGATATTACAGTTAACATAATAAAAACAAAACGAAAAAGACTCAGACTAACTTTTTTTTAAACGAAATATTTCCGGGTTGAAAAAAAAACAGTTTCTGGCCAATTTCGATTTTACTACAGTGCTGATTTAAATTGATCGGACAAAACGAACAAAACTTGAATTTTCAAACTTGTTTGTCTCAAATTGGGTTAAGATTAGACAAAAAGTGAAGAGAACAAAAGTTGCTGAGAAACTCTTAACCAAAATTTTACCCCAAAAATGGGTCATTTCGGCTTTTTTCAATTAATCAAGAATTACTCTGAAACTACTTTGTTAATTGATAAGAAAAATATATCACAAGAAGCTTATCACACAGCCAACAAAGTTTAGGAAGGGTCAAATCTCCAAAAATTTGCAAATTGTTTAAATTTGTTTTCAAACAGAGGTTCTGGGTTTTCTGAAGTAAAAATCACGTTTCTTGACTAGAAGCAAAAATACTTTCTCTTATACAGGTTTTTGGAGATTTACCCTTCTAGAATTTTTTAGGGCTGTGTAATAGGCTTCTTGTGTTATATACTTTTTATCAATTAACGAAGTAATTTCAGCGTAATTTTGATTATTTGAAGAAAAAAAAAAGTGAACCATTTTCGGGTCAAAATTTTGATTGAGAATTTCGGAGAAAAATTACACCATATTAATTCTGATGAAATTCTAAGCAACTTTTGTTCTCTTCACTTTTGTCTAATGTTAACCCAATTTGAGAAAAACGTGTTTGAAAACTCAAGTTTTGTTCATTTTGTCCGGATAATTGAAAACAGCAATGTATCTGTACCGATCCAAGCTTTTTGATCACCTCCAGACGAGTGTACCAGAAAACTTACCGAATCGAATTCATTACAATTAATTTATATGATTCAACTGATTTTGTTAAACAACTTGCTAACCCAAAAAAAGTCTGTTTACGTCATTATAAGTCTAATTCGCTATACGAGATAATCACTTCACATCAAAACTATAAATGCCAAAATTCAAAAATTTCAAATTTCCAAATCTCAAAAAAAAAGCTAGCTGCTTTTCTTTTTACTTGGTACTTGGCAAAAATGCAGCTATCTGCTTTCACTTTTGTTAGGTATTTTAAGCCTGTACTTTTGTTAATTTTTTAATTATCCCTACTTTTGTTCCGACTTTCGATACGAAAGTAACGGAATATTTGTGCTCGGGTGGGTTTTTTTTTCAGACAAATTTTGACATTTTAAGAAGCCAGTTTTGACGGAATTTTTAAATCTCATTCAAAAGGTATTGTTGTCATGAGCTTAAATTTGAAAAGATATTTAACCTGTGATCATTTTTCGTGAAATTACGGGGGTTTAAATATTGCCATTTTGGCCAATTTGGGACAATTAACGCGCGATATATTTCGCGCTATTAACGCGTAAGCGGAGATTTAACCCGTATTAGAAAGCGTTCCAAATTGGTTGAAGGAAGCCTATTTGCCATAATTGATTTATTACAATGAGCGAAATCTATTCTTTTGTACTTTATATGGCGTGTGGGGGGATGATTTCATAAAAAAACTCATACTTTAGATCTTTTTTTTCAATTTATGTTTTTACATTTAATTTTTTTTATGTTAATACTGCTCCATAAACCTCAAAACGCAGTCAGAACATTCAGGGCTTGTGAATGTTATTATAATGATTGAAAATTGTTCCAAATTGAAGTTTCATTACGAGGCCAATTCGTTCATTCTGTGCATTGTAAGCGGATTCCGCAACAGGCCTAAATAAGATTTGTCGCAGAATCCGCAACACTGCTACTTTTCTCTGATCTTCCTTGCTGTTTTGGATTCCACAAACAAATACCTAAAACACTGTACCGTTCAAAATCGCTCAAAAGATAGGGGAACTTGCGGAATCCAGAACAATTTGTGGAATCCACACACAAATAACGAGACATATGTATAGTTGAATTGAGCTGTTGCGGAGTCCGTATCTGTAAGTGGGATCCGCAATCTGTAAGTGGAATCCCCAAATTGTAAGTGGAATCCGCAAACTGTAAGTCAAATCCGCGTTTTGTGTGCGGGTTCCGTTTACATATATGTATGTGTAGTGTTTTAAAACTATATTTTTTAATAACTAAGTTGATCAGCTACTAGTTGGAATGCCAAATGTTTGATCTCATTTCCTGTCAAACACCTAATTTCGATCTCAAATCCTGTCGAACATACGCAACTTCGATATCATCTCAATCCTGTCAAACATACTTAGCTTCAATCTCACTTCCTACAGAGGTCAACTTCGATCACAACTCCTGTCATCAATTTGAATTCCTGTAAACTTATTCATCAGTTCATTTCAAGCCATTCAAATAAAAAGTTTTAATTTGGCCATTTTGAAATATTTTCAAAATGCGAAACCAGAACATAGTTTAAAAAGGCATCATTTTCAAGACTATATTTACTCCCTGTGAACAAAATGAATTGAATTCACGCTCCCATATACTGAGTCTCAATTACAAAATCCAAAATACTGAATCTTAATTACTGAATCTCAAATACTGACCTAATTTGGCGATATGTCAACCCAATATTGAATTAACCCAATTACGGAGATAACCCAATAAACTTAATCGGTGTTGTGTTTACAAATTTATGATCCCAAAAAATGCTTGCAAATACTAAAGTGTGACATCCATCGATTTAGTTAACCAATGTTTTAAAGTTTTTTTGTGGATTCCGCTGTCAATGGTTAAGCCCTTGCTTTTAAATTCCGCAAGTGCATATGCAAGTTCAGTAATAAGCAAGTTTCTGAATTCCTTTACAGTTTGCGGATTCCGCTTACAAATTTTGCGGATTCCACTTACAATAGTGGATTCCACTTACATTTTTCAGAATCCACTCACAGTTGCGGAATCCAGAACAACTAGCTATATTTGCTTGTTGCGGAATCCGCAACAAAATAAATGTGCCGACAAAATTAACGTTACAAGTATATGTACGCGGAATCCACGTAAATTTTGTAAGTGGAATCCACATACATTTTGGAACATGTTTAAATACTTGTCTCTGGAATCCAGGAACATACAGATACAAAATTTTGCGCCTATCCAATGCACAGTTTGACCTCGTAATGTTACGACTCAGGATTTGAGACTTTATATTTGATATTTTGGCAGTCCAAAATTTATAATTTATCTGGAGACCAAACAAGGGACAGTCGGAACATTCGTGACTTTGCCCTGATATACAGCAGTTGTAATCTTATAACTATTTTTTGTATTTTTGTTGTTGGTCTTGAAGCTGAACTTCAGTTCTCTCACGTTACCAAGAAAACTGTCCAAGTCTTACAAAAAAATATTAAAAATCTGTCAACACGTTCTGTGTATATTATGCAGCAACCAACTACTCCTTTGCTTTTTTTTATCAGAAACTTTAATTGAGAAAAGTTATCAGTTTCAATTTCAGCAATTTTTAATTTACTAACTAAGAAAAAATGTAGAAAATTTTTTTCTGAAACTATTTATTTGACATAAACCATCGAATAGTATAATTTAGTGTTTAAAAGTGGACCTAATTTTGTTTCATTTGGTGAACATAAAATTCGTAATAATTCTATTCTATTTAATTACTGTCAACTAAATTCGAGTTTTGCGCAGAACGCGAAGTTTGGATGAGTTGAGCGGCAAGATTCATTGCAGATGACGCAAACGCATTGGGAGGAATGTGAGACGAGTTGTGACTGGCTAGCAGCTGGCCAATAGGAGGTCTCAATAGCTGTGACGTCATTGGGTTGGCATTCGGGTTGCAGAAACTCAGAAATGGCGAGAAGGGTTGTAAGTTGAGTTGAGGTCTCATCGGGTTATTATGATTGTTGTGGTTGTTGTTGTTATTATTGTTGTGGACATTTGCGGACGAGAATTGTGGGTTGAAATTAGATTGCATTGAAGGGGACCACCTAGCTTGGCTTCCGGGAGCTGATGCGTCGTTCCCACCCGCTGGCCGATTCGGTTGAGTTTGCAAGTTCTGAAGCTAAAAACGAACTTTGTTCAATTCTCGTGTACACATTTTTCCTTCTAAGCTTCTGGTAAAAAACTATCCAAAAACATTGTTTGAGTTGATTGGACATTTTTCATAGTTATAAAATCATACGCATTTCCTTTTAACTATTTCCGTCCTAATAAGGAGGGGGGGGGGGGGGGGGGGGATAGCTAACAAGATCCAAAATATCTGTTGTTTTTCTCACAGAGCTTGTAGTGGATAGCATTTTCCAAAATGTGAAAACCACTTAAAAAATGTGTGAATGAAATAATAAGAAGTAAGGTACCTGGGCAGACATGTTTTTGGTGATGGTGACATTTGGATTTGCAGAAGCCGACAGACTCTTGCCCATCTGCTGTTCCTTCCTCGCTCTGGCTCTTCTGTTCTGGAACCAGATCTTGACCTGAAACGACAACAGACAAATATGCAGACAAAACAAACTGAATTAGTTCACAAGACTGATAAACAGGAAGATAGCGAACTGAATGAATCAACAACCAATATTACACAAAATATATTGTTGTTTACTGTTTATTTTTTTGTTATGTTGAACCATGTAAACAAAAACCATCCCCCCAGCCGCAAATTTATTTAGCGGGAAAATTTTTCAGCTGGTTATTATTTTATAAGTTGTTGTTTGTTTGTTTAAGAGGGGGATTGTTAACGTAGACAGTGATGTTTTGGAAACTTATTAAAAGAACTGTTTGACTTGTTACAATTTTTTTGTAATAATTGCATCAGTGGATCTATTTACTTAAAATGGGCGGGACATTTTATTGAAATAATGATCGAATTCAGAAGAAAAAGACTGCAGTTTTTTTATTCACAGTTTGCATGTCAATCACAATGTTCCATTCCAGTTTTGTTTTCATAATGCCTTAGTGATGCGATTTCAGGTGTTTATTGTTTTCTAATACAACTTCAAAGGTAACTCGTTCGGATGTGGCAAGTCCCTGTATCTCAAATAACGATGGTCAATTGATCAAACTTACTCGACTGTCATTTAAGGAGAGCATTGTCGACAATTCTGCTACATCGATCGAACTCAGGTACTGCTTCACTTGGTACTTCTGCTCCAAAATAGCCACTTGTGCTGACGAGAACGGAACTCTGGGGTTCCTGCCGAGCTTCCTAGAAGTCGGGTGCATGTGGGTTCCCGACAGTCCCGGTGAGTGTTTGCTCCTCGGAGGGCTGTGCTTCAAGTCGGATGGACTCGGAGATTTTCCGAAGATATCGTTGGGAGATAGATCTTCTTTTGGCGATTGTTGCGATGTCTGCACGTTCAAACACATGTCAGCTGAAGATGACCTCTTGCATCCTAAAAAGAAAACATGCTTTCAATAAAGAACTTATCTACTTCTCCGAGTCTTACGACGCCTAATGGTAAAAGTATACATTTCATCAAAACTTCATTTAAACCTTTCACTGTGAATTTCTACAAAAAGAGTCAAGATCAAATAATGAAGAACTTTTATTGACCTTTGTTGGGAGATTTCATAGGAGACATGTACGCCATTTTATCCCCCCATTCCCGAGGGCTCACTCTTTTTTCCTCTTCTTTAACCCTCTCCTGTGACGCCAACAAAGACTGGAGAGACGAATTGAGGGGCGCAAACTGACTGATTTGCCGGTAGAACCCAGCGGTGGCGTGGGCGCCGGCGAACTGCGACATTAAATGATGAGCTCCGCTTGTCGGATTGTAAATCGGAAACTCGACTTGCTCTGAATTTGGCTCGGGTTGCTGCACTGTGGATTCAGTTTTCTGTAGGAGGTAGTTGATCGAAAATTTCATGGATTTTGCGGGTGTAGAGTTTGTGGCTGTGTCGATCTCGGAGATATTATTGGAATCCATTTTCAACAAAATTCTAACTTTCGCGATTTAGCCAAGGTTGAGTATTTGAAGCTTTCTAAAGTATCAGGACTTTTTTTGACGATGAAAGAATTGTTGGGTTTTGAGTAAGTTTTTCAATAATTCCTGTTAACTTTTTTTCTGCAAACACAATGAAGCAATTTTTCAGCACTTGTTTTCAAATTGTTCTGAGGTGGAAATGATTGCGAATATATGAGAGCGGCTATCTATTGGTCTGGTGAATTCTACTTAGTACCAGGTGTGTTCGGTGGGAAGTTCAATGTTAATTTGTCCCTACAAATCTGAGAACAGTTTTCAGATTATGTCGCAATGAGATCTGGATGGGTGCTGAGATTGGAAAGTAGATGACCTCTTTTGATTGGTCAAGGAAATACAACTGATTGAAATCAATTTTTCCCAATATTCTCTATTTGGTAGAACTTGATTATCTGAACACGCCCAAATTAGAAAGTTCGTTCGCCAAAAATAACAATCAAAATTAAATTATGAATCTTTTTGCTGCAATCAATTGGAAATGTAAATGTCAACTTCTCCCAATGTTTGCTATCTTTTAGAATTTGATAATGCGCACACGCCCAGATCAAAAAGTTTTTCAAAAAAAAACAATATAATTTAAATTATGAATATTTTTTTGCTTAAAATAATTGGAATAGTAAATGCCAAAGAGCGATCGAGTGAAATAAATGACCAAAGTCAAAATAACTTTTCCGATTTAATGACTAAAGTGGGAATGAAAAAGGGATTTAATGAAAATTTCAGAGCGGGAATATTCTAGTAAATAAGAAGTAATGAATGCGGCGTTTATAGTTTTATCTCATTTATTTGTTTTTATTGTTTGTTTGTTTTTCCTTGCTTAAAAGCTCTGATGGGATGAGTATTTAGACTGTATTAATGCATTTTAGTGGGAAGCAATTTGGTTCAATAAATTGGGCAAAATTATTTCGAATGCGGCTCAAAGTGAGTAAAGTGCTTTTTAGTTTTTAGTATTTGATTAAACCACAGGTACTCGAAGCACTAAATTAACTCACGATTCGACAAAACGTGATTGACTTGGCTAAGTGGAGCAATGGAATAATGAAGAAAATGTGGAAAAGCTTTTTAGCGGCAAGTGACGGGACTTTTTAAAGTAAAAATGACCGGAGCAGAATTCTCGCTAATAAAGTTGGCGCTTTTGGCCAAGCCGTGCTCAATTAACACCAAATTATGTAACAGTCACTCAGCTAAATAACTGTCTGACATTCGACTAAATGCCATTTCGGCTCTCTATTGTCGCGACATGATAGCTCGGTCTGAACAATGGAAAAGGCGAGAGCAAGTTAGAAACACAATTTTTTTATTAAAAATTGCCGGCAAAATACTAAATCAAGATATAAATACTAAAAGTAACTGAAGTAGCTATAAATACTTGACTCAATAAGTTATAACTCAAAAACCACAATTAAATCGAATTTCAGTCAATTTCCTTGTTATGGAAGCCAAACAAAGGAAAAGAAGGAAGACGGACTGCAACTTGAAAAATAGAAGACAAATTGAAAAAATCAATAATTGGATTTGTAACACAATAACTTTATGCAAACATATAATTTGCACGTTAAAATTTCACAAGTTTGAAGAGTACTAATTAGCAATAATGTATTAATTTACAAATGGAGATTGAATTAAGGTAAAATTGATTAATTAAACTCTACTTCACTCTCTGATGATGTGATTTGATTCGAGTCAGACAGCGTAAATGAAGACTGTTCATTGGATAGATCATAGCCAGTCCAGCAAGTCCGGCGATATGCAGAGCCTGCGTCTCCGCCGGCCGGCCGACAGGTAGCCGATGATCGCCAGTAGTTAGTCGCGAACAGTCTCAGTCGGCAGACGAAAGTATTCACTCAGCGCCGCTCTTTTCAAAAGTTTTACGCTCATAACGAAAAATTTGAAGTCAATTACGGCGATTTAGAGACAGGCTATCATTAAATGCTGATATCGTGTTGCTTAATAGCAATATTAATTCATTTGATCAGTATAATTACAGAGTGTTCAAGTAAAAACTACTAATCAGCAAATTGGTTACATCATATTATTAAACAATAATACCAATTATCATAAGCTTACCTGTGTTTTGTTTACTTTTGCTACTCATAAAACTACAAAAAGTGAAACTCAGCAGCTCTTTGCGATTCTCTTTCGTCGCGCGAGACTGACCAGCAAAGAGCACACAGAGTCGAGAATCTCCAGCAGATCTAGACAAATCGGCAACTTAAGACTTCTTGATTTGCGCCAAACCAGGCCGGCTCCCAGACTGATGCGGCTTTTGAAACTGAAAACCACAAACTAACTTGCAAAAACAACATTTGGTATGTTATGACCATCATAACAAGAATGAACATTTACATTGATTATACTTTCGGTAGCGCCGAAAACAGTTCCCAAAATCATCAATTGTTGCACAAGAAAGTTTAGTACAACAGTGCCGAAGTACAACAGTGCCGAAAAATAAATTTTTGTACAACAGTGCTGAAAAATGATCTTTTCGTCCGTGTTCAGTTTCTGCACTGTTGTAATTCGGCATTGTTGAACGCCTCCGCAAAAATACACCGGATCACAGTCCAGTTCTAGACCCCAGCCTGCGCGCTGCGACCATCCTACAAAAAATTCTCTTCTAAAATTTTTATGGAATTTTCTCTATTTTGTTATTTTCTTGTATGAAGAATTCCGTTTTTTTTTTGTAGCAAATTCAGAGCTAAATTTTGTAAGAACTTGTAAGATTCTTATAAGAAACGTTTGGTAAGGAAGATTTCTTGTTAGATATCTTCGTTATGATTTCATCAATTGACCTCATAAACCGAAGAGTTCTTATAAAAAACAGAGTTTTTAAAACTGATCCATATCCCTTTTAAAAGCGGCTTTTGAAAAAATCAAAGTTAGATATCTAAACTGAATTAATATCCAAAGTTTGTTTAAAAAACGATAGACTAAGACTATCAAAGAAACAAAAATCAAAATGATGAAACGGCCGTCGGCGCTCAAAGCGACAAGTGAAAACTGACACTAGCACAATTGGAACTACCAAACAGATGCTGAGAGCGACGAATTTGAGAAGAGGTCAAGTTGGTCAAAAGATATGATAATTGTCGGTTCAGTGTCTGGTTGTTGGTAAACAAATGCACTGCAATAAAAGCGCTCTGTTTGTTTTTCATCTGCCAATATTGTCGACCGTCAGTCGTACTTCTTGAATGTATAAGCGAACGGTGCCAGCTAGGAGCTGATCTTGAGTTTTAATCAGAAGTCGACTTTTTTTCAAAGTTTGTGAAATTTTAGGTCGATCAGTTTGATCTTCCAAACTCTCCTTAAAAACAAAAATTTGCGCAAATTGAGTGTAAAAATTCTAATTTTTCATATTTTTCTGACTCTCTGGCTAAAAATATCCTCACTACTCTTTTTGACCGCATCTTATACGCAGCAGAAAAACTATCGCCCGGATCGGGGTGTTCACTTTGTGTTTTGGAGGTCTCGACCGAATTTGGATATAATTTGACTTTCACTGCCAAAAAATTGTGCTCGACCGCTTCGATCAAATTCCGCGTGTTTCGTTTTCTTCGACCAATAATCGACATTTTTCGATCATCTCACCAAATTCGTAGCCTTTCTCATATTTCTCGATATTGAGTTTGGTTAAAGGTCGCGGGTGGGCGCGCCACGCGCGCGTCGCCGCTTTGCAGCGATAACCGGCTCTAAACTTCATATAAAGGCCTACCACCTGTTGCAAGCTCGCAACACGTTGGCTTGACTACAGCGTTGAGTATATTGCGAGTTGTCTTTTATTGCGAGTTGTCTTTTGGTGCGAGTTGTCGCATTACGGAGAAGTTCTGATCTTTATGGAGAACCGCTGTTGAGCGCCGTAATTAAGACCAACACTTGAAACTCAAACAAACAGCATAGATCATGGTGGCCTCGAACTTGAACTAAATTGAACTTCCGAGCTCTCCCAAAGCACTAAAAAGACACTGTTTGGGCCAAATTTTTCGCGCCGTAGGCAAAATTCACAAAAAAAAACAGGCCAAAAATGACGTTTTTAGGCATTGTTTTAAAAATTTCGACCGGAAAAACCTTTTTTTTGGTGCGCGCTTCTCCCTCAGAATTAATAAATATTGGCACCAGAGGCGCTTTTAGAAAAATTATAAGGTCAGTCAACCAAAAATAAATATCTCAAATTAAAACAAAGGGGGGACCCTTCTTGGGTCGGCAGAGGGTCGAATCCCTCAGGAGTGGGGGTGGGGGGTGTCCGCCCTACGCCCCCCTTAATCCGCTGGAGGGGCAACAACGCATTATCGGTGAGGACCCAATCAGTTAAAAACAAAATGCAAGTGTGAACAGAACAGAAATCATTTACATTTGAAACTATTGAAAGACAAATTTCGAATGAGAGGTGAAGACTTTGACACTTCGTCGCCGCTCTTCCTTGAGTTGCAGCATCGAATTACGTCTAACAAGGGTAGCCAGTTACTCTGCAAGAATGTTTCAACGTAGAATGTTCTAACTCTAACGGCAATTAAATTAGAAAAAAAAAACTGAAAGAAACTGAAAAATTTAAGTCACTCTAGCGTCACTCTTTTTTTTTTGAACGAACTTAACTTGTCGGCTCTCCTGTACTCTAAATTTTTGTCCAAAAAGCGCCATTACGCCAAATAATACTAATTTTTAAAAGGGAGCGCGCGCCGAAAAAACGTAATTTTTTTATCAAAAATTTGCAAAAAAGTGCCTAAAAACGCCTTTTTGGCTTGTCTTTTTTTCCATATTTTGACTGCGGCGCAGAAAATTTGGCCAAAACAGGGTCTTTTTAGTTCTTTGGCGGAGCTCGGAAAATCAATTTGGTGGAACTAAAAAATTTCGACAAAATTTTTGACAATTTATTCATCATCCTTAACAACAAGGATTTTTTGCAAATAACCCAAATAATAGCTATGCCGTTTTAGGTTTACTGTAAATAAGAATCGTTAATTTTTTAATATTCCCTGAAGAAAGGGCGATAATATTGAATGAAGTTCATCAGAAAAAAAGCCAAAAAATATCGCGACATAAGATTTTTTAATGTTTATTTCGGAACCCAGCTCAGTTGAAATGCTTTAATATCACACCTCGCTATAAACACAAACCCAGCTTTCAAAAGGTATAAAAAGTCAGTTCAGAAGAAAAACTCGAATAGAAAGTTCCTTCTTTCGAGGAAATGGTGGGATGAGCCTCAATGGTATGCCGCGATGTTCAAAAAGTTTCAGAAAAAGATACATTACATTTGATTGAATCATTATTGCCATTTAAAAAGTATAATTGTAGCTGACTTAGATTTTAATCTACAAGGAAAATAAATGATTTATGCAATAATCCAAAGACTTCAACTCTTCCGCTCCTTATCGAGTTTAATTGGGAAAAATTCCCCCATTTTTGCCCTCAATCGGCCGTGATCGTTATCTGAACTGCCCCTTATTTTCCAATATCAGAATATTCATCAGAGGTTTTTGAAAAATATGGAACTGTGTCTTCAAGAGGCCTTAAAAGGGCTTCAGTCTTTACAATCTCAGAAAAAGGTGATCTTGAACTGTTTTGTTTTTGTTATCCAAATTAAGAGGACATTTAGAGGATATTGTTCAGATTCTAATGAGGTCTAGACAACAGAGCTCTCTGCTGCGCCGGCGCATTTTCAGATTAACCAATTATAACTTTTTATAAATTATAACCTTTTGAGATCTCCCTCCTTTGGGCTCATTATTTATACGTTATGTCGCCACGAGTTCGGCCAACTCATAGAACAGCAATTTTTAATTATCGACTCAAAGTTTTCCACAAAAGCTGTTGAATAATTAGTAAAATGATTAGTGATCTAAATTTTAAATTAATTCTGAGCAAAATAAGCGGATTTTTTAATGGCTGCTTCATTTTGTTTATTTTAAGAGCGGTTAAGTCAATTAAATTTTAAAGGTAATTTTCCAAAAAAAGTTCAGAACACCTGATGACTAAAACAATCAGTGAAAAAGTCAAGTTCCAAATTAAATTCTCCCTTATTCTCATGATTTTATGTGGATCATTACAGAATATTACAACTTAGTGGCGTATTAAAAAGACGAGTAACAAGTAGGAAAAGTAGGGAAATATGGGATGTAATTGATTGGAAATGTTCAGTTTGGAAATTAAATTTCCCAAACAAAAACAGAGACGAGTGCTAATCGAGTTATTACAATCATTTACGAGAGCTATCAGGTGTGAGTTTGTGGTAATAATTGCAAATTAATCTTTTTCATTACTATACCAATCTCTGGCAATTTTGTTTTTATGCTTATTTTTATAACGCTTTTTCGTATCATCTGATTCGCTGCTGACGAAAGTGTGCTTTCTGAGATTAAAAAGTAAGATTAGCAAAAAAAAACAAATAAAAGCACTTCTGAGCACTGATTTGATTATATTATTCTATGATTTAATCAGAAAAAAAAGTTAAAAATACCCAAAAAGTTGAGTATTCTGAAAAAAAAACCCGTTACTCTTTTGAGATATCGATGAAGTTAAACAAGGGCAGCAGAATCTCATAAGTCTAGTCATTAATTATTCGAGGAAACTTCTGGAGATTCTGACAACCTGTCGTGCTTTTTTTGGTATTATGTTAATTTTTGGAAATTTACTAAAAAGGTTCTGCCTTTATTTTTTGTTTCGTGACATTCTCCCCCCCCCCCCCCCCCCCCCCCCCTCATTCACTTCGCCCCTTTTTGAAATTAGTTGCACAATTTGTCCCTCTTAGTTTCGCTCTAGATATTTGCATGGTTGGCCCCCACATATTTTGTTCTATTTTTTTCACGCATTTTCCCAAATACTTTGCCACTTGCCGCATACTAATCTGTCGTTTAACTAAATTGTGTGTTTTTTATTAAAGGAGACGAATATTTTTGTTGGAGTTCGTTTTGCCCCACCCAAGAATTCAGTCCTATGTTTATCATTCTAATTAATTAACAAATGCCGTCTCCAGAAATATCTCTAAAAAGAAAAAAAACTAATTTCACATCAAAATACCAAATGTCACTGTATAGAAATATCCAATGAGAGAAGTCATTTTTATTTCGATCAGCTAATTAATATCTAAGTCTGAAACTTCCGTATCCTTCTATAGTTTGTCAAATCATCCCAAACAAAATTAAAGCTTAAAATGTTTCCTCACTACTTGCCAATGTTTGTGCTTCTTTCTCTTAGCTTGGTCGCTTTTGCTTCTACTTCCAACATCAGTGCATCCAGCACCACCCCCGAAGTCGCAGCTCAGAACGAAACGGATCTGTTGGATTCGGCTCAGGTAAAACATTACGTTGCAATGACCGGGATTCCTCGCCATTGTTGACGGATTCCTGAAGCAGTGGTAACTTATTGAAAGGAATCTATGCCAGGGTAATTACATTTCAGAAATACTGCAAAGGAACCCACAGCGTTTTTATAATTTTCAAGTCACGTCTCGATAATGTGAACAAATCCACTGTTCCATTTTGATTTTAAGAACTTGAATAAAAAGTTGAGAGCAAGATCGAAAATTTGTTCATTGCTTTCACTCACGGTAATTCAATGTTCTATATGCTCATAGGAACACCTCGAGAGCCTCTGGGATGAGCTGGAAGAGCCGAGACAGGAGATCAAAGACTTGTGGGGTGAGCTGGACATCCACATCCAGTTCCCATCCAAGGCCGATCTCATCCTCTTCTACGCCTGTGTCGGAGTGCTCTCTATCGCGATGTGTGCTTGCTGTGTCTTCGTCACATGCCGCAAATCTGATAAATAAGCTGCGCAATTTAGTTGCGATGCGAAATTGATTTATGATAGAGTACATTTTTCGATACTATATTTTATCGATTTGAAATAAAAACATAAATATGGGGTTTTAGGACTTTTACAAATGTGTAACGATGTTACCCTAAAAAGATACTGAAAAACGAAAAAAAAAATCGAACGTTGATAAAATGTTACTTTGTTGTAGCTAATTCTAAGTTAAAACTATTAAAAAGAATAAGAATTAAAGTGAATTAGTCGGTAAGTTAAAACATTAAAACAATGAGAGATCATTCTCTCCGTCGGAGAGAATGGCCAATGAAGGTCATATAAGAGAGACCTGTTATCTAATCTAATTAAGCTAAATAAGGTTTGCAATAAATGCAAAATAAGATGCAATCACAACATTCCTTTAAGCAGGAAAAATTTTAATTAGTGCCCGGTAAGTAAAATACAAAATACGAAATAACTGAGACTGAGTCCTTTCTCCCCCTTTTGGTGACAGAGAAAAAAGATTTTTTTGCACTACTGAATAAGTAAAGAAAAATTAGCTAAAGCACCAACACTAGCACTAAGTAATACACTAATGATTTGAGGTTAAGGTTATCCGGTATCCAACGGATAAGATCTAAAAGATAAGTAAGGGGTTGAAAATCCAAACGAAAATATCACCGCAGTTTAATAGGTGGAAAAGTGTCAGGTCGCGGGAGTTAGATAAATTGGCTGATATGGATTTTATGAAGGCGGAATGCGATGAGCAAATATACGAATAAGTACTCCGAGGGATTGATGAGTTCCTAACAGTTATGCACGCTAGGTCTTCCAACTCAAAATTGTTGAAATACAGTTTAGCACCGGTGTGTGAAGTGGAAGGTACTCGAGAAAGAAATAGGTATTATGATTATTGTTTACAGCTTCTATACTCATTTAAAAAGTTTTCAAGTTCGGCATTAAAAAGTTCACTATCTAGTTCTGAATGTTCTCCGAAATTATCTACTGCCATCCTTAGCGATTCATCAGTTGAAGATGTGGAGGTTTGTTCGGGAGATGGTGAATCTGAGTCAATTAGGATCAACTCCGCCGGAGCCACAATATTGTCCGCATCATGAGTGGTGTTATCGTCTATTTCTATCACGATGGGGTTAACTGCCGAGCCAGAGGTTTCTTGAGATCTATCTACGGCATCTATAAAATATCTTTGACCGTAAAAATTTGGTGGACCAAAATTTCTACTAGAGTGTCGGATGGTGGGAGGAACTTTACCAGGTTTGTTGGTAGGGTCGAGAGTCGAAGTGCAATCGTCAGCGGAATCTACTATCTCATGAACCGGGAAATCTGTTAATGAGCCCAATTCCGTTGGATTACAATCGTCCTGAAGTTCCCGTGGCTTGATGGTGGTTTTTTCCTCCCTCTGAGTTGTGGTCTTCTGATCCAGTGCATTAGAGGTTCGGTTAGCGGGGATAATGCATATTGAACACTTCTAAAACCTCAGATTTTATATCATTATTGGTTACGCTAGAATTAGGGCCAATTCCATTTGGAATATGGGTCGTGCGTGAGTCGGAAATAAAACGCTCTCTGGCTACATCTCTACAAGGGAAACCGCCCGCTATCCATTCCCATTCACTAGTATCCGAAATATCCGAAGGAATTAGCATGGATTCATCAGAAGCTAGGTAACCTGGGGGGGGGGGGGGGGGTTGACGACTTCTTTGAGCGGCGAGTTTATCTTCTGATTGGTTTGTAAGATGTCATCGACACGCTTGTCCTTGTCAGGTTGTCGGATGGGACCAGTTCCACTTGTTTGCGAGTCCTAGGCATCGGTTTTTTCGGTTTTGGTTTTCGTCTCGAACCCTCCTGCTTCTGACCTACTTCAACATTTTAGGATTAGGGAAATAAGGGAATGAAAAATTTCCTATAAAGGGTCTGATTTTATTCGAGGTAGATTTAGGAATCGCAATGTCTGACTTTCGTATTATTTTTCCGTCGGATAATTCTACCGTCGAAGTAGACGAATTTATGATTCTTTTGTTTAGTTACTTATAGAAACAGTCTCGATTGATGTTACCGTTTGTTTTTCCGAAGGATTTTACCTTTAAAGGGGCTTTGGATTGGTATTCTATCGGACTTGATTTTTGAGGATGAGGCGTAGTCGGTGTTATAGCCCTTTTCGATCGGTGTTTGGTTCTTTTTCGCTACCAAGTCGTCCTTGTATCCTTCCTCGAGTCTGTCGTACGAATTCCAGTCCTTTGCCGGTTCTTTAGACAATATATATTTCCCTTTGTCTAAAATTCCAAAGGAAGGTTTACCAGAAGCTAATTGTTTTCAATTTGTATTTGGTTTCTGTTATAATGAATTTCAAATGGAGAACTTTTGATTTTGGATTGGTAAGATGAACGTAAATTCCAGATAATCTTGGAGACGGCGTTTTGCAGTGTACATTTTTGATGTTCTTGTGAAATAGCAAGCAGTTGAATTTTTACAGTGTGTACCAATTTTTCGACTAATCCGTTGGAACGATGGTCACCCACTGTACAAAATATTATTTAAATATTGATCGAATCACAGAATAATTTAAAATCTTGGATTGTAAAGCAAGTCGCGTGGTCTACCCTTATTGAATACGGTATACCATGTAAAAACATATAATCCTATAAAAATTCGATAACTGTTTTTGCAGAAGTAGAAGACGTAATTTTTGCCGACGGAAATTTGGAAAATCTCTCAATGCAAAGTAAAATATATTTGTTTGACCCCCAATAGGAATCCAAGGATCCAGCGAAGTCTAAGTTAGGTTCTTCGTTTGGTTCCAACAATGGAGGAAGTTCATTGGTTTGTGAATTTGGGATAACAGTTTTCAAATTCTTACCCGCCGATGTGCATTCTGAGCAGTTTATGCCATGAAAGTAAATTTGGCTGTTAATATGAGGCCACCAGATGTATTGGGCCAAATACTTCATTCCGAATTGACCTGGATGGGTTTCATGGAGAGTCTTCATCATCTCGCTTCTCAGGGTAAAAGGTATAGCTAGTTTACCGTCCATGTATAGCAATCCGTTGGATTCGTGTAAATCTCTGGTGAAGTGTTTAAAGTAAGGGGAATTTGCATTAATCTTCTCCACATTGTTTTGAAGTGCTTTGACTATTGGGTTCAACATAGGATCGTCTTCTGTTAAAAGGGCAACCAACTTGGCGTTAAAGAGGATGTTCAAGTCCAAGGGTCGATCCGGCAACTTCAAGTTTTCACGGTATTTTTAACAAGATTAGCGTGGTCAGGTAACAGCGAGGAATCTAAATCTACTGAAATACCGGAAGTAGAGTGATTAATTACAATATAATTATTATTCATATTCACAGTATCTACAATTTTTTTATCTACAGGCGAGTTAAATAATTTACAATTAAGAATTAAGAAGTAAAAAAATGCGGAATTAGAAATAGAGATAATTATTGGGTTCGTGTTTGAATAATCGGTTGGAATACATTTTGAAGTACAAAATTCAGTTCTATTGTGTTTAGATGAACAAATTGGGAAAGTCGAGTTGATTAGTTTTAGTACTGACGCTATTAAGTAATTACGTATTTTTGCGTAATCGGAATTTTCCAAATTTGAACCAATGGCTGAGCAGGTAATTCTTTGTTTCTCCGACGAATTAATTGATTTGTTAATCTTATTAATTTTTGCCACTAAATATTCTTTGTCATAATGAGATATTTGGAGGGCTTTTCCAGATGGAATCCTAGAAATAAGGTCCGTGAAGCCCATATCCTTTCCTGCTAGATGTTTGATTGTAAAATTAAAAGGTAACAATCTGTCCACCCATCTTGTTAATCTACTATGATATGCTTTATTTCCGTGATTTGATGAGAAAGCGGAGAATAAAGCTTTGTGGTGAGTAATTATTTCGAATTCCGATCCGTAAAGGTAGTTTTTATAGTGCTCGACAGCCCATACGACCCCCAACAATTCGAGCTCATTCGTAGAATATTTTGACTCGCGTGGGTTTAAAAAACGAAAGGCAAAAGAAACTGTTTTCCAGTCTTTCCCATAGAGTTGTTCGAGGGAAGCTCCCAAACCATTGAGCGACGCGTCCGTTTTTATTCTAGTGTTGCGTTTTACATCAAAGTGGGTATTCTCTGTTAGATTTACAATTTCTTGTTTAATTTTCTCAAACGCTTTCGTATGGTCGTCGTTCCATTGGAGGATCGATTTCTTATTAAGAAGCGGTCGAAGTGGGCTTCCTAGAGAGGCTAAATTTGGGACAAACTTGATGTATTGATTTATAGATCCGAAAAATGATCTTAATTCTTTCAAGTTCTTTGGAACAGGTAAGTCCTTTATTGCTTTCGATTTGCCGAATAGAGGTATGATTACTGTTTTTGAGATTTTGAATCCCAACCATTCTATTTCTTTTTGAAAGAATTTACATTTTGACCATTTGACCGCGAAGTTATATTCGTCCAGAGTCGATAAAATTTTAACACAATGTTCTTGTGGTCTAAAAATGTTCCTTTGGAAGCGATTAAAATGTCATCTAGGTAACAGTTGGTAAAAGGGATAGAACCTAACGTAGAATCCATCACTCTTTAAAATTCGTTTGGCATAACACCTAGTCCGTAAAAGCCGGTTAAAAATTGGCAAGTACCCGTAATATCACCGCCCACGATACTAAAATTGCATTGACTGCTAGTATATTTATCTAATGCAACGGAATAATTAGCAATTTGCGCTGCGACGTTGTCTACCACTTCGTGGATGTTCGACATTTGGTATTTGTTCTTGTAGTTTTGTTTATTTATAAACTTTGAATCCGAAGCTAACTTGATGGATTTGTCTTTTTTGCAAGTAATGACTATTGGACTGATAAAACGATCTTCGTCACAGTTTTCTAGTTTTTTAATATGTCCCTCGTCTTTTAATCTGTTGAGTTCTGTCTTAACAGAATCCAATAAGTGTAGGGGAACTCGTCTTTCTTTTAGTTGGATTGGTTTTAGGGGTTCATGAAAATGGGTGATTTTTATCTGGTTTTTAATTTTTCCAATCCGAAGGAATAAATTTTTGAATGTTTTTGATATGTTTAGAATTTCCCTATCTTTGTCTGTTTGAGAGATGGA